GTCAAAAAAGAAAAGGACTAGCCGGGCATGGTGGCACACACCTGTAATTCCAACACTTGAGAGGCTGAGGCAGGAGGATTGCCACAAGTTTGAGGTCACCCTTGGTTACATAGCAAGTTCAAGGCCAGGCTGGACCACATAGTGAGACCCTGTCTCAAAAAACAAAAACAAAGGGACCAAAAAGGTAATTTTAAAAAAGACAACCTCCCCAAATTAAAAAAAAAAAAGAGAGAACCCAGCACTCGGGGAGGCTGAGGCAAATTTAAACCAGCATAGCCAATTGAGTGACTTAGTGAAGCTCTGTTTAAAAAAAAAAAAAGGCTCTGAGGATGTAAGTCAGTGTGAAGACCATGTGTCCTCAATATAGGGGGCAGGAAGAAAAGGAGGACAATCCAAGAGAAAAATTGGAAAAAGCAAGTAACCAAAGAGCCCCCAAAGTGGTCCATAAACCTAGAAAATATATTCAACTTCACTAATAATCAGGGAAGTACAGTACAAATTGAAGCCTTACTGAGATATTCTCTCGTGCCAGTGGAAGCTCAAATGTCTAAGAATAGCAAGTTGGTCAGAGTGTGTCCAAGCAGAAACTCTTGCACACTGCTGATAGCAATGTAATTTGTTATAATTTAGAGGGCAAATTGACCAGTTAATGACTTGATGGTATTCAGATTCTAAGTTTTTGCAGTTTTGCTTCTACATAGATTTTCTTTTTTGAGTCATGGTCTTGCTATGTAGTTCAAGCTGGCCTTGATCCCCCAGTGATCACCTGGCCTACTTAGTTCAAGGTCAGCCTGAACTACATAGCAAGACCCTATCTCAAAACATAAAAGGTTTCTCCCGTGTGCACAAAGGTGTATGTTGTAAGTTTGTGATAGCAAACCATTGAAAACAGACCTAAGTGTCTCTCCATAGGAGAGTAGAGAAATACCTCAGGCAGTTAACATGAGTAAGTAGATTTCCATGTGTCCCTATGATAAGAGCTCAGAATCAGTACTGCATGAAAAAAGCAAATACCAAAAGGATGTGTAGACTGTGGACACATCTAAAGTGTAAAAGAACAACCCGTGTTCTTTATGGATGGATATATGGCGTAAGTGCTAACTCAGGAGGAATAGTCATCAGCTTTGGAATAGCTGTTACCTCTGGGCAAGGAAGAATACTGTATAGGGCCAGTGAGGGCTACTTATTTCTCAAAAAAAAAGAGAAAATCCTGGGGCTGCAGGTTTAGCTCAGCAGCACAGCACCTGCCTGTCAAGCGCAAGGTCGTGAGTTCGATTCCCCATACCCAAAAAAAAAAAAAACAAAAGAGAAAATCCTAAAGTAATTATGGTGAAACATTAGCACTTATTAAATCTTGGAAATGGGTACATAGTAGTTGAGCATGTGCAATATTCTCTGTACTTTTTGTTTGCTAGTTTAGTTGAAATAATTTCTTTGAGGGGGTAGGCATTAAGACAGAGTCTTCCTATGTACGTTAGCCTGGTTTTCAACTCACTGTGTAGCTCAGATTGACCTCAAACTCCCAACAATCCTCCTACCTCAGCCCATTGATTGCTAGGATTGCTAAAGTGCACCACCACGCCTAGAAAATAGTTTCTAATTATTGATTGATCTTTTTGAGACAGACCAGTGCAGTTTCAATATGCAGTTCAGGCCTTGAACTCACTTTGTAGACGAGGCTGGCCTCAAACTTGAGGCAATCCTCCTGCCTCAGCCTCCCAAGTGCTGGGATTATAGATGCACCACCCTTGGCAAAATATTTTATAATTTTTTTTTAAAACAGAGCCTTACTATGGCTGGGCTCCAACTTGGTTGGTTTGTTTCGTTGCTTGGTTGGGGTTTTTTTGAGATGGGGTCTTGTTATGTGGTTCTGGCCAACCTTAAACTCACTTTGTAGCCCAGGCTCACCTTAAACTCATAGCAACCTTCCTGCTTCAGCCTCCTAAATGCTGTCATTATAAGCATACATCACTAAGCCCTGTAGTCCAACTTGTGATTCTCCTGCCTTAGGCCCTAAGAGTGCTAAGATTACAGGCGTGCATCACCATGCTCAGCTTCCTTTAATTCTTTATAAATAAAGCTTTCCTGGTTGCTTGGCATCTGTGTCACCATTAGGTCAAATAGAAAAACAGTGACCAATCTAGTCTGATCTTTTCTCCTCTGCCTTACCTCCAGGCTGTACAGTAGTCTCTCCAAGGCCATTTTTATTAAACTATAATCCTCTGAAAGAAATATGCTTAAGTCCCTTACCCAAGTGATTGATTCAGATTTTTAAAAAAAATAAAAGTTATCCTTCCCCCTTCCCCTCTTTCTGTCTCTCTGTCTCTCTCTCCCTCTCTTTGTTTCTGTGGTCCTAGGGATTGATCCCAGGGTCTCACACATATGGTACTAAGCAAATGGTGTACTACTGAGCAACATCCCTAGCCCTTTTTAAAATTTTTTATTGGTGGGTCTGGTATCACATGCCCATAACCCCAGCACTTGGGAGGCTGAGACAGGAGGATCACTGCAAATTCAAGGTCAGCCTGAACTACATAGTGAGACCCTGTCTCAAGAAAAAGAAAACAAGCCAGGCATAGTGGCACACACCTATAGTCCCAGCACTCAGGAGGCTGAGGCAGGAGGATCACTGAGTAGAGGCCAACCTAAATTATAGAGTGAGACCAGGAGGGTGTGTGTGTGTGTGCAAAAAAAAAAAAAATTGTTATTTTGAGATTTTTTTTTTTTTTTTTTTTTTTGAGACAGGGTCTCACTATGCAGTTCAGGCTGGCCTGGAGCTCACTTTGTAGCCCAGACTGGTCTAGAACTCACAACAATCCTCTTGCCTTAGCCTCCCAAGTGCTGGAATTAAAGGCGTGTACCACCATGCCTGGCTAAATTTGTTGTTTTGAAACAGGATCTTGCTATGCAACAGGGCCACCCAAAGGGAATAAAATGAGCAAGTTCTGGGAAGGGACCCCACAGGGATCATGCCTGTTCTGTGCTTTTATAGCAGAACCAGAGACATAATGGGATCCATTTCTTATACACAGCCCCAGAATTAAAAGTACAACAGCTACCATGCATTCTGCGACCCCAGATGCGGACAGCAATCAAGCCCTGAACATCTCCCTTCCCCTGGTAGTCCGCTCACCAGGAGCGGCCTGGAGCTGAGCCTAGACATTGACCAGTCTGGACTGGACACTGCTGGGGGTTGGCCTCTCTGTCAGTGTGGAGGACCTGAGTGGGAACTTTGGTGGCGTGGTGGTTAATTTTGATTGTCAGCTCATTTGGCTTCCCAGATGCCTAGAAGATTAGTAAAGCACACTTCTGGGTGTCTGGGTGAGTCATAGAGCCGGGACTCTGGGGGCTGTATCCAGGCCCTGGGCCCTCCTCTCTGGGCCTTTAGCTGCTCTCTGCTGCTGCATGCCGTGAGTCGAGCAGCTGTGTCCAACTGCCCTTCTGCCATTGCATTTCTGTCTCAGAACCTGCTGACCGTGGACTCAAACCCTGAGCCCAAGGAAACCTCACCTCCTCTCAGTGTTAGGGTGTTAGGTACTTCACCTCCCAGCAAAGAAAGGTTGACAGTACGGTGGGAACCTTTGCTATATATGCTATATTTGCCATCTTCTTTCCTTGCTTGAGAACCACTGGTCTGACCTGCTAGAGCAGCCTCCATTTAAAAAGCCTTGCCCAGGGCTAGGGATGTGGCTCAGTGGTCGAGCTCTTGCCTTGCGTGCGCAAGGCCCTGGTTTGATCGCCAGCACCACCACCAGCAAAAAAATGTTAATAAAATAAACTAAAATTTTTGGTTTTTTTTTTTTTTTTTTTCCAGTACTGGGAATAGAACTCATGACCTTGTGCTTGCCAGGCAAGCGCTGTGCTGCTGAGCTAAATCCCCAGCCCAAAATAAATTAATTTTTATTTGCTTATGCCTGTACTTCCTCAGAGTCTAGTCTCCTTTCTTTTCTTTTTTCTTTTTTTTGAGACAGGGTCTCGCTGTATAGTTCAGGATGCCTCTGACCTCACTGTGTAGCTCATGTCGACCTTGAACTTGCAGCAGTCCTCCTCTCTCAGCCTCAAGAGTGCTGAGATTACAGGTGTGCACCACCCTGCCAGGCTCTAGTCTCCTTTGTATTGTTCTTGGGCCTCCTTTCTGTAGTACCTGGCTCCAGTGACAACTAAATTGTCTAGGCTAACCTCAAACATGTGATCTTCCTGCCTCAGCCTCCTGAGTAACTGAGATGACAGACATATGTACCATTACTCCTATTTTCTCTTGCTTCATATTTCTGTTCAAAAAGTATGGAGGCACATGCCTGCATTCTCAGCAACTGGGTAGGCTGAGAAAGGAGGATTGCTTGAATCCACATGTTCAAGAGCAGTTTGGGCAACATTGCAAGAACCTAGCTCAGTAAAAAGAATTTTTATAATTTTTTTGTTTTTTTGTTTTTTTTATTTTTTGGTGTTTTGAGATAGGGTCTGGCTGTGCAGCTCAGGCTGGCCTTCAATTTGCATCAGTCCTCCCGAGTGCTGGGATTACAGGCATATATCACTATGCCCGACAGTAATGTTCCTTTTAAGGTGCAGATAATATTGTTTGACACATTAATTGGTGTGTATGGATAAATAATCACAAGAAATCCATTGTTATCTTCCAGGTTATTTTAAAAAATTAAGTGTGAACAATTTTATAAATATTCTCATTCCTATCCCTCTCATTTCATTGTTTCCATATAATTGAAGACTTTTAATTTTAGAAGCTGAAAAATGGTATCAGGTGGTCAGAGTTGTTTTAGTTTTGTTTTGTTTTTGAGCTGAGAGGTGGAAATAGTCCTATTTTACAGCTGATCCCTGGTAGAAGTCAGAAGTTTACTTAGGTAAATAAACGTGTTGGAGTCCCTCCCACTTGTTGAACGGCTTGGTTGTTAAACTGTGTGCTAGGCAACAGGCTTTCCTTCTCCATTTTTTAAAGTTTAGAGAATCAAGAATTTGCTTTTTTGTTATTTTTTTATTTGCAGGTTAAACCCTAAGATGAAAACTGATCTCTGTTTGAGCTCTGAAGGGACTGAAGTGATTTTAGCCACATCAAGTGATGAAAAACACCCACCTGAAAATATTATTGATGGGTAAGAATTACTGTACTGTCTTTCTTAAAGGCTAAACATCGGCACAAGGACCCCTTGAGCACTGAAAATTGGGCTGTTAAACATAGTGTAATAAATGATAAATTAGATTAGTTGGTATCGTTCCTGAAACTAACTCAGCTGTTGATATTTAAGTTTTTTATTTTTCTCTATAATTCCTAAACTGACCCCTTCATACAAATACTTATTAAATTTATAATTGTTGTTGTTGTTGCCATGCTGGGGATTGAACCCGGGGCGTACTCATTTTAAGCAAGTGCTTTACTACTAATTTACATCCACAGTCAATAGTTTTTTTTTTTTTTTTTTTTTAAATAAGTGCTTTACCAAGGCAGAAACGCAGAAAACAACTTGTTCTATGGAAATGTAAAATTTGATGTCCAGTTTTGTTTTTATTCCAGTCTTTTCTTGGAAATACGAATATAAACATTGTAACTTCCTATCTGCTGCCTATTTCCTTACTGGTCTAAGTAACATCTTTGAGAAGTGCTTCACTTCCTGCTAACCTCCTGCATTATTTGCTTCAGTGTCTTGATATTGTTCCAATTTCTACTCTTCACAGGCGAGAGGGAGAGCTAGAGAGCTCGTACTACAAAGAAATAGTCTCAGACTTTCAATTCCAAGAAAAAGTGGTTAGTGGGAAAAATCCTTTTAATCATTCTGGTTTATTTTCATAAACTCTTCTTGGTACGTGTACAGTGACCAGAGTTTGATTCATAGAATCATATAACTTTAGAACTGGAAGAACTTATAAATTCATCTTATGTAAATGCTTCTTTCTTCTTCTCTTCTTTTATCTTGTCTCTTTCCTTTTCCTTTCTTTTCTTTCTTTCTTTGCACTAGGAATTGAACTCAGGGCCTGGCACACACTAGATAAGTGCTTTACTACTGAGCTACATCCCCAGACAAAACCCTATCTTTTAGACTTGTGGTGAGAGATACCTACATGCACTGAATACAGGCTTTAACTATGGAAGGCGGAGCTGGTTTTAACATAAGACATTTTGTGATTCTTTGTGCTCTATTGTAAAGCTGTGGTGCCTGGACAAAATTCTATCACTTGACCTCTTCTCCAAAGCTCATTGCTGTTTCCTGTCTGATGTCTGCCCTTTTCTCTGAGTTAGGGTTAATTTATCTCTTTGCTGGGCTCTGATAGCACTTAACATGCACCTTTATCATCTAATTTCTTTATTGTGTGATTATTTAGTTTTAATGCTTTGCATCAGAGTCTAGGTTTTGTTCATCTTTGACTCTGCAGAGTCTTACACTATTTATTGGATACTTTGTTAAATTAGAACATAAAATATTAGTTAAACCTGGCTAATACTGAAAAGTATCAGAGTATATATTTATACAAATACACATGTAAACATGCATATAAGTATATGCATATATTTCTATAAATTTTTATATGGCTTTATAACTTCATAGATATATGTATATACTTTGGGAAATAAACACAATAAAGTGGTTTTTTTGTGTGTGTCTTTTTGAGACAGGGTCTTGCTATGCAGTTCAGGCTGGGCTTGAGCTCACTTTGTAACCCAGGCTGGTCTCAAACTAGCAATGATCCTCCTGCCTCAGCCTCCCAAGTGCTAGGATTACAGGCATGCACCACCACGCCTGGCATAACAAAGTATTTTTAACTGTGTTATAAAGATGAGGAAAAGGATAATCAAAGGTAAAGTGACATGCTCAAAATCACACAGATTAGCAAACGGCAGATTCATCTAAGACTCCTGTCTTCTGGCTCCTAGTTCAGGGTTCTTTGTCTTATACTACGAGAAGTCAAACTTAAAATTTGAATCAAAAAGTGAATGTTTACCTTTGCCAGTGTCTCTTAGTTATTCTTAGTTTTTTGTTTCCTGAAAGTCATGTCATTGGGAAAGAAAAATGATTGTGGAAATTTCTGTGAGAATACACAGAACTGTGGAGATTTGCTTTAAGTGGTTTGTTAGGAATGATGATCTTTCCAGAAACATACTTTTTCTCTGATTGGAGTGCGATCATTTTTCTAAGGCAAGATCAGTTTACTTTGGATCCTTTTAGTGACCTTCCCCTCAAGGGAATAGGTTTATAGATTGATAGGATTAGCAGGTACTATTTTAGGCTCCATTAGTCCGTGCTAAGGAATGACTGAGGCCATAGTAATTTTTTAGGTTAGACAAAGACTGTTAATACCCAAAACCATATGGAGTGAAGTAGTTATTGTCCAGATAACTGAAAGACTTAGAGACTTTTAATCCACATACCCTTCAAGCAAATACAATTAGACCATGTATAGTAAATGTTAAAATTAATCATAGAGTTATTAAGAGAGAACAGTGCTATAAATTTGCCCTTGCCAAATAGTGAGGATTGCTTTATGGACCTGCTCCACACTCTCAATTTCCTTAGAGATAAGAGCTAAAGGAGGGCTGAGAATGTAGCGCCATGGCACAGTGCCTGCCTGGTGAGCATGAGGCCCTAAATTCAATTCCCAGTACCAAAAAAAAAAAAAAAAAAAAAAAAAAAAAAGTTAAAGGAAATTGTTATATTTCTATTCTACTCTCCCTCTTTTTCAGATAGATTCTCCTTACATGAGCCCAGACTGGCCTTGAACTCAAGATTCTCCTGGCTCAGCCTCCTAAATGCTGGGCTTAGATGTACACTACACACAGCTCTGTTTCTCCTTCACCCTACCTTTGCTCTCTGTATTTAATCTACCAGTGAAAAAGAAGAGATTCTACATTAGGAAAAAATGAATCAAAAAAAAAAAGAAGAAGCAGAACGTGGGTGTGGTGGTGCACACCTGTAATTCCAGCGTTCTAGGAGGCTGAGGCAGGAGCATCACAAGGTCTGACTCCAGACTGGACAATTTAGCAATTTAGAAAGACCTGTCTCAAACAATTTTTTTTTAAAAAAAAGGGCCAAGGATGTGATGTTACTCAGTGCAAAGGCCCTGGATTTGATCTTTAGTACCAAAAAAAAAAGAGAGAGAGAGGGTTTCTTGTGTTGTGTTTTTGTTTTGCAATACAGGCAGTCAAACCCAGGCCTTCTCACTGAGTTACATCGTGGCCCTTATTTTTTATTTTGTGTCAGGTCTCACTAAGTTGCTCAGGCTGCCCTCACACTTGGGATCCTCCTGCCTTAGCCTCCCAAATGCTTAGCTTCCCAAACGCTAAGATTACAGACATTGCCGCCACCTGGCTCAAGGAATTTTAACTCCAAACCTAGTATAGTACACTATCCAGAAAGACCAATTCTGCCAGCCAGGGAAACTTAGTAAGACCCTGCCTGAAACAAAATAAAAAGGACTAGAGATGTAGCTCTCAGCAGAGAGAAAGAGCTGGGGTATAGTTCCATGGTAGGTGCTTGCCTAACATATTAGGCCTTGGCTTCCAACCCTAGCACCAGCAAGAGAGAAAGGGAGTAGAGGGGAGAGGGAGGGCTGGGTTTTCTATAATATTTTATGAGAACAACATAATTCTCATACCAGAAACCTGAAAAAGACATCAGAAAGTTAAAGACCAGTATCAAGTATGAACATAGATATCCTTGACAAAACATAAATCAGATTCAACAAATGTAGTTTATCCTAGAAATACAAGGTTGGCATAATGACCATGCTATTGCAGGTGTACAAGACTGAATGAAATCCACAGGGAATAAAGCAGTTACTGTCCTGATAACTGAAAGACTGTTAATCCACATACCCTTCAAGCAAATACAATTAGACCAGGTATAGTAAATGTTAAAATTAATCGTAGAGTTATTAAGAGAGAACAGCGCTATAAATTTATCCTTGCCAAACAGTGAGGATTGCTTTATAGACCTGCTGCAGATCAATGGAACAATACAGGAGGCAGAAACAATCTCAAGCACATTCAGCTGTTTGATCTTTAACAAAGGAGCCAAAAGCATATACTAGAGGAAAGGTAGTTTCTTTAGTAAATGATGTGGGGAAAGCTGGCTATACACATGCAGAAGATTAAGTCTAGACCCACACACCTCAGTATATATTAAACTAAAATTGAAATGGGGCAAAGAACTAAATGTAGGACAGAAACACTTAAGCTGCTGGAAGATAAAATAGGTAAAATGCTTGAAATCATAGACCAGTTACATAGAAATAGTATCAAGAACTAACAAACAGGATCATGTCAAACTAAAAAGCTTCTGCACAGCAAAAGAAACAGTGAAGAGACAACCTACAGAATGGGATTAAAATTTTGCCAGCTATTCTTCAGAAAAGAGGACTGTTATCCACAATATATAAATAAATATAAATATATATATAAATATATATATTGTGGATATGTATATATATATTGTGGATATGTATATATCCACAATATATACCAAAAAAATTAGACCCCTCAAAAAATAAATGGTCTAATCAAAAATGGGCAAATGAAATAAATACTCAGAAGAACAAGTAGAAATGGCCAATAAATACATGCAGAAATGTTCAACATTGCTGACCATTACAAAAGTGCAAATTAATACTGAGATTCCAACTTACTCAAGAAAGAATGGCTACCATCAAGAAGTGCAATAAGGGCCGGGGATTTAGCTCAGCGGCAAAAGCACTTGCCTGGCAAGCGCAAGGTCGTGAGTTCGGTTCCCGGTACCGGAGAAAAACCGAGAAAAACCAAAAAAAAAAAAAAAAAAAAAAAGAAGTGAAATAATAAATGCTGGTGAGGCTGCAGGGGAAAAGACACACTGCTATATTGTTGCTAGGAATGTAAACTATTAGTACCACTATGGAGATCTGTATGGAGTGTCTTCAAAAAAAAAAAAACTAGACATTCCATTTGACCCAGGCATTCCCCTTCTAGGTTTCTTCCTGAAAGAGTTAGAGACATCATATGACAGTGATACATGCATATCTCTTTATAGCAGCACAACTCGTAACAGCTAACTCTTGGAACCAGCCTAAATACTCATTCAGCAGATGAATAGATGCTGGGAATGGTGGAGCACACCTATAATCAAGAGGGTAAAGCAGGAGGAATACCACGAGTTCAAGGCCAGCCTGAGTACGGTGAACTCAAGGCTAGCCTGAACTATATAGTGAGACCCCATCTCAAAAAAAAAATTTTTTTTAATTTTCTGTTTCCTACTAATATATAGTAATACAATTGATACTGTTCTTGCTGAACTCATTTACTAGCTCTAGTAGCTTATTTATTTATTGTGGCAGAACCTTTGGAGTTTTCTATGAATACAATGATAATTTGTGAGCCAGCATGTTTTATTCTTTCACTCCCACCTTTCTGCCTTTTACGCGTTTTCTCTGCACTTGCTAAGATCTCCAGAGCAAGACTGAAAAGAAACAGCAAGAACAAACACCCCTGCTTGCTTCCAGCCTTAGGGAAAAGCATTTCCTAGCTCAGCACTGAGCTGCCAGTTCAGAGATGTCTTTATCAGATCGAAGATATTCTTTGTCTTCGTGTGCCAAGAGCTGGTATTGTGAATGGACAATGAATTTTGTCAGGTGCTTTCTCTGCATCTACTGCCACAATTGTATGACTTTTCTTCCTTGATCTGGCTGATGGTTTGTTGACTGGAGTGACACAGATTCTGTTCCTGTTTTTTAGGAGAGAATATGTGGTAGTAGCAAAGAATTATTAAAGTTGGGGAAAGATTGGAGACAGAGTTAAAAGAAAAGGATTGTAAGAATACCGTAGTCACTTTTTAAAATACTTACTCATTAGAATTTTGTGGTTAATGTTTTTGTGATTAAATTTTTATATTTGGCTATTTCTTTTCCTTTTTCCTTAAAATTAACAATAGGAATGCAGAAACGTTTTGGACCACCACAGGAATGTTTCCCCAGGAGTTTGTTATTTGTTTTCACAAACACGTAAAAATCGAAAAGCTCATAATCCAGAGTTACTTAGGTAAGGAAGTGATGCATTAATTTTTTATCTTAAATTTTTTCATTGGCAGAGGGCACAGATATAAACGTTTGTCAAAACACTACTAATTTTTCTTTACAGTGTGGAATCTGGTTTTATTGCTGGAATAAAGAGGGCAAAGATTCTGGGTTAACTGCCTTCAAAGCAATTAATCTCTCTGAAACTGCAAGTTTAAAACTCTTTCACTCCATGTAATAATTGCCATGCAGTTTACCACAGGGACATCTTTGGCATAAGAAGCTACTTTGCCAGAACACTAGGTTCCATGACGACTGTATTCTTGATCATTTTGACCTGGGGTTCGAAGTTAAATTCTTTCTGAAAACCTGATAATCCTGATTGTTCACATTGCAGAATTTTGATTCTTCCATTGCTAGGGATCTTTTCTGGGGATTTGAGAGGGAAATCTTTCTTTGGAACATCATTCTAATCCTGTCTATGTTTATTTGAGGATAAAGTGTGATAGATAAAATCAAGGCAGGAAACAGAATACATCCCAGATGTTTCAGAGGAAAAGATTTTACTGATGAGTCTACTTACAAAACGGTGGACTGGGCTGAGGGAATAGACAAGAGAGGATGAAACCCTCAAAAACTGGCTGCAGCAGGAGCCCATTCTGCCCTGGGACGAGGGAGGGAATTAGTGTTACTGGGCCCCACTGAGAGGCTGTGCCCAGGCCCAGCAAGAGCTGTCATCTGAAGGGACATAACTACTACTGCCAGACACCCGGCCCCAAGCAAGGAGAGGTAGAGACCAAACCACTTGATCTCACAGGAAGCCCCTGGGCAAGTCCAGCAATGAGAGAGAGTCCGTGAGCCAGCCCTTCAGGACACAGAAAAGGGCACAGAGGGGAGCACTGGATTTGGAATTTCAGGGAATGGTTAGGGGACAAGGAGAAAATCCAGTGCAGTGAGATAATGACTATATACCTGATATCTCTCCTAATTTCTGTCATTAAATATAGAGGCCCTGGAGTCAGCCAGGTCTCGAGTTTGAGTTCTGGTTCTGGAGTGTACTAAATCTATCCCATTGAACACCTTACCCAGTCTCCAAGCATGTGTCCTCATCACTGCAGTAGCATAATAGTACCTTTCTCCTAAGACTAGTCAATAGCAAAGGAATAAAAATCATGACTCATAGTAGCTCCTCCATAAGTGCTTATGACTAAGACCCTTAATTGTACCATTATTATTACCAGTATGTAAAGAAATTCCAGCCCAGCATGGTGGCGCACGCCTGTAATCCCAGCACTGGAGAGACTAAGGCAGGAGGATCATTGCACGTTGAAGACCAGCCTGGGCTACAAAGTGAGCTCAAGGCCAGCTTGAACTGAATAGTGAGACCCTGTCTCAAAAAGGCAACAACAACAACAAAAATTTCAGATAATAGCCAAATTTTAAAAAGCTCTGCTAGCTTGCAGTGTATGGTTACTGACAATGTTAGGATCACCATTACAGAAGAGCACATGTTCCCATCAGAATTTATGGAAGCAGAGTAGATAACTTCCAGAACATGATATTCCTGATCTCAGTATTACCTGTAGTTCCACCAATGTAGGGCAGACTCATTCAAAGGAAAAAAGATACATAGCAAGGCCCACAGCATAGTGCCAGGTGGGTGACTAATGTCTTGTTTATCTTGTGTTTACGATGTCAGTGCGGACCTTGAGGGTTGAAAAGAGCACATCTAAAGAGCCTGTTGGATTCCAGCAGTGGATTGAAAAAGGTATGTGCTTGTTTCATCAGCATCGTTCTGAGATGAGGGAGGAAAGAATTATTCTGTCTCCACATTTCCAATCCAGCTGTATTTTGGTGAATAAAAAGGGGTTCTTGTGACCCAGTTAGGATGCAGGAAAACTCAGGTTTGAGTACAGGCCACATCAGTGACTGGTTATATAATGATTAACATATTACTTAAGTTTTTAGAATTTTAGAATCCTAATCAAAAAAACAGAGATGATACCTACCGTTGAAGCTTTTGTGAGCTAGTGGTTGGCATATGATAAATAAACAATAAATACTGGTTTCTTATTTTCTTTCCTGATGAATAACCCTTTCCTTATCCTCTACAGAATTGATAGCCTCCAGTTAAACACAACCATATTACCTCCAATGTTTCCATCTCCTTTCCTTCCCAAAATACTGTTCTATGAAAATTGTAGGAAAGAAATAAAAAAAAAAAAAGCATAAACTTCCAAGGACAAAGAATTAAACAAGAAACCAGGGTCTCCCTAAAGTCACTAAGTGGGCCAGGCTGGGCTTGAATTTTCTATCCTCCTGCCTCAGCCTTCCAGGATGTTGGGATTACAGGCATGTGCCATCATGTCTGGTCAGATTAATATATATATAATGACAGAGGGAAAGTAGGAACTTCTAAAGCTGAATGGATTAGGCTGTAATCTAAGAGCCTGCCAAGGAAAGCATTAGCAAACATTTGCATAGAACCCCAGGAAGGTCTCGGACTTGAAGGAAAGCCATAGAACTTGTGCAAAGTGTGAGACATGGGCCAGAAAATGGCCGATTATTTGAGCATCTACAGAGTGGCTGCATTCTAGGTACCTTCTCCCACCCTGTAAAGCTAGATGACCATTCCTTTTCCACAGACTTCCCTGGCCATGAGAGATGACTAGGGACATTGAGTGCAGTACTGAGGCTCAGGCCCCAAGAGGGCAGGCGAAATTGAGTGAGATACAGGGCTAAGTCAGAGCGTTGAAGTGGAAGCCTGCATATCCAACACTGGGAACTCTAGCCTTCTTCTTCCAATGACAGCAACCAAGAGTGTGAACCCTGCTAGGACATGAAGTATTCATCTTTGGAGAAACTGAGCAGCCCCAGAAAAAGTGTGTGGATGCTGACAAAGGCTCGCTTACCCCTGGTCGCTCTGCTGAAGTCTCAGTCAGCAGCTCCAGCTCCTGCTGTTTCAAATGATTTATTATTCACAAGTAACAAAACATAGCCAAAGGTTACCACAGTTTTGATGAAGGCCTCAAGCCCTGAATGTTGGGTTGGAGATGTGGCTCAGTGGTAGAACTCTTGCCTTGTGTGCACAATGCCCTGTGTTTGATCCCCAGCACCACCAAAAACAAACAAACAAAAATTCTGAATGTGATAAAGCCTTTAACTCTGATTTCCAGTCTATGGGAAATAGAGGAGAAAGGATCTAATTAAATGAGAAGGCAAGATGAGAAAGTTTAGAAATGTTAGGACATTCTACAGGACAACTGACCTGAAAGAAAAATTATGTGTTTAGGAGAAAAAAAATGGTTCAGGATTAAAGATACAATAAGTCCGTGACTTATAACAAGTTCTGTTCCGAAAGATTTTTCGTAAGTTAGATTCATTCTTAAGTCTACAAAATGAGTATTACATAGTATACCTGTGAAAGTTAATAATTTGAATGTTCATAAATCAGGGACTTACTGTGCTTAATTCAAATACAAATAAACTGATTATATGAAGACATTTGCAGGATAATTGGGGAAATTTGAATAAGGACTAGATATTAAGGCATTGCTTTGGTTTGTATTGTGTTATTTTGTGACAGGGTCTCACTATATAATTCAGACTGGCCTTGAACTTACTATGTAGCCCAAGCTGGCCTAGAACTCGCTGCAATCCACCCACCTCAGCCTCCCCAAGTGCTGGAATTACAGGCATGTGCTACCACATCCAGTTTAAGGCATTATTTTTGATATTAGTATGATAATGATATTATAATTATGTAAAAAAAGTCCTATATTTAAAGGTAGATAAAATACTTAGAGATGAAATACATAATGTCTTAGACTTACCTTAAAATATTTTAGCAAAATATTTAAATAAATCAGCCATGCTGAAATGTTAATAATTATAAAATGTAAGTGACAACTATAATTGTTTTCTATTTTTCATGTATATTTGAGATTTTCTACTTTCTCATAACTAAAAAAAATCCAAATGAAAAAGAAGTTATTATTAACTTCTAATGGAGAAGTTATGTAAGAAAATGTGACAATTATTACTTATTTCATTACTAAACATTTATATAGGCACAAAATTAACTGTGAAGTATTGATTTCAAAATTGAGAGGATAGGAAAAGGGAAAGCTTGTAGGAGGAGGAAGTGGACATTGGTTTATGAAATCTAAACTTTTTAACCAGGCCTGGGGGCATACACCTGTAATCTGAGCACTCAGGAGGCTGAGTCAGGAGTATTGCCATGAGTTCAAGGCCAGCCTGGGCTACACAGTGAGTTTGAGGTCAGCCTGAACTACATAGCAAGACCCTGTCTCAAAACAAAAAAGTCTAAATTTTTACCTGTCACAGAGATGCATGCCTACAACAATAGCTATGTAGGAGGCTAGGACAAGAGTATCATAAGTTTGAGGCCAACCTAGACAACTTAGTAAGACCCTGTCTGAAAACAAAAATTTTTTAAAAGGCTGGGGATAAACTCACGAGGTTCAGTCCCAACCACTGTAAAACAAAACAAACAAAATCTAAATTTTCATCTACCATAATACAAAGTGAAATAAATTGATAAGGAAAGGAATATAATCATATTGAATGCCAGGGAAAACATTAGAATTGAAATGCTTATTGCTAGGGACCATCCTGGAGGATAGTGAAGGGTGAGGCAGTGATCACTATTTTTTATTATTTCAGAGAAGTTTTAGGAAGTAAAAAGACAGTCACCCCATAATCTTACTTTCCAGAGACTTCCCGTTTAGTACTGTGGGGTGGTGATGCACTTCTGTAATCCCAGCACTTGGGAGGCTGAGGCAGAAGGATTACCTCAAGTTTGAGGCCAGCCTGAACTACATAGCAAGACTCTGTCTCAAAAAATAAAATTATATATATTATTTTGAGATGAATAAAATTAATTTTGACTAATGTCAGTAGCTGTCATCAGATGATTAAGTAGTTCAAGTTTCCAAAAGAATGTTTGATATGATTAGCTCCTGACCAAATGAATTAATCTGTCATGCCATTACACAAGTAAAGGTTTTTAAAACTTGATACCAGAAAGGATCACTTCACAGATCACAGAATTCCACGTCCTGAGACCTGGAGCTGGGCCTGTCACTCCACAGCATGGTCTAGTGGCTCCCTTCAGACTTGTCATTAGGTAGTGGCTCAGTCCATAAAAAGGATTTTTCCCTGATTTTACTTTATATTCCTTTACTGTAATTTATACTTGTACTGTCTTCTGCTTATATCCACTAGATATATTGTATATGTCGTAGTTTTATTTCTTGCCTTTTATATCAGATATCTCTATTTGTATATCAAATTTCAACCCCAAATGCTGATAATTTTTTTCAATCTGATTTTAACTTATAGTTTACCAGATGATATTTTGCTGAACATAAATTTCAGTGGCTGTCCTCATGTATTCTGAGCATTAACTCAAGTCTGTTAAATTTGTGTTGTAGATTTAGTGCACACAGAAGGACAGCTTCAAAATGAGGAAATTACGGTAAGTAAATATGCTTTGTAGAGATGAAAATTATCCTGAGCAAGCACTGCATATTCAGATTTTAAATACATCTCTGTAGTCCTAGAATTAATACATAATCCTTATGGTATCATAGGTTCTGAAACTAATCAACCAATAGAGAGGTGATTCTCAATACTATTAGAGGCTAACCATTATAAATTAGGCTCTTGCCTATCATAGAATAGAGACAACAAGGAGGAAACAGAATTCATGTACTTATTTCATGTTTCACTTTGCCCATTTACTTGTTTTTTTTGAGACAATATCTTGCTATGTAGCCCAGCTGGCCTTGAATTTGCACAGATCTTCCTGCCTCAGCCTCCCAAGTGTTACTATTGCAGGCTTGCACCACTATGACTGGCTCACGTTGCTCATTTATGTGGAAATTTATGTTTGCTTTGCTTTCCTTTCAATTAGGATAGGAATCAAAAAGGCCGAAATGTCAAAAATAGATGTTAACTTAAGCATGAAAGGACAGGGAGATTCAGATAAGGGAACTGGGGCATAGGATCAGCAACAATAGGCCAGTAAGGGATGAAGTGGAGAGAGCTAGTATGTTCCGACAGCATGTGCAGGGCTTTGCTTGGCCAGTGGAATGAATGCTGGTGACAGGAAACTGCTGCTTCATCAGGAGCTCCTCTGCTCCCATGTTTTGCACAAACAAATACGTAAACATGATTTTTTAGGTGGTCACATTTGCTTAACTAAGATTTCTCTACATGAGGGTTAAAGTGGTGCTTTTTCACTGAGTTTACTCACATCTTGCTAGGAGCTGCTGTGATGCCATAGGAAGGTTTCTGAATCTTCTTAATTTCCTTTTCTCCCACCAAAATCTGCCTGATGACTGGGGAAGCCAGTGGGGTCCAGAAAAAGTGATGAATTATGCTGAATTCTGTCTTCCTATTTTTCTCCATCTTTACCATGTGGGTTGTGATTCACGAGCTTCTGCTTCCTTCTGTGTTTTCTCTCAGGACTCACTGTAGGTTGAGGAGAGTTCTAGGCAATCTGGAGAGCATTGACAGGGAGAGAAGCTGGAAATCACCCATCATTTCATTGCTCTGTCACAGCATGTTTATTGCACCTCCTTTCTTCTAGTCAGGACACGCATTCCAATAATAACGTGGACAATTTTGTGTCATTTTGTTTTGTTTTGTTTTTTGAGACAGGGTCCCACTGTGTAGAGTAGGCTGGCCTTGACCTCACAGTGATCCTCTAGCCTCAGCCTCCCAAGTACTGGGATTACAGGCATGTGCCTCCACACCTGGTCAACTATCATGTTTTTCCAATTTAACATTTTATCACAAGCTTCACAATTATAACATTTGTCCATTTCCATACATTTAAGCTAACTTCTTTTTATCTTCGCCTTCTGTCATTACAAGTAATACACAGGGGACATTCTATGCATGTTCTTGCTTCCATGACCTTCACCTTTTTGACTATTTTCTAAGATTAAATTTCATGGAATGGAATGACTGGGTGCAAGAATATAAACATTTTTATAGCTTTTTACATACATTGTCAAAGAGAAATTACAGAAATGTGAAAGTATAGTATGCTTCAGGGAAGTACATTCTCAGGCATCATTAACCAAGAGAAACTTCTTATCAGGAAAAGGCTTTAGAAAGACACTTTTAAAAGATTGATCAGAAACATATAGTTGCAATGTGCAGCCCTCCTGCTGTTTTTCATAAAACTAAGGCTGACATCCTGCTGATAGGCACTAGAACAACTGTTATGTGGGGCTAGGCCACCTTCTGAGTGTGCTGTCTTACATGGTTAAGCAGTTAGAATACAACTCCTGCATCAAACCCTTTCTTCTGCTAACTGCTTGCTAATGCTAACTGGGATTGCTAAGAGCATCCATATTGATTTTTTTTCCCCTACAGGCACACGATGGCCATGCTACTTACTTGAGAGTCATTATTCAATCAGCCTTCGATCATTTTGCATCTGTGCATAGCATTTCTGCAGAGGGAACGGTAGTCTTAAATTCTTCTTAGTAATTACACAAAGATGCTCTTACGAGATTTTTTTAGCAATGTATTTATTTAAAAGCAAAGCTGTCATTGATATACTTTATTAAAAGGATTTGTCAACCTGTTTCTGTTCTTATTTGTATTTTATTCATTGTTTTGGGCAAAGAAATTCTGGTTTCCTCAGTCAGCCGTGGAAGATCTAAGGAAGCTGTGGCTTCAGTATACCGCTTAATAAAAGAAGTATGGGAAAATTTAACTGATAATGCATGGTGTCCCCTCAGCATCTAATAAAGTGGTTGTTAGATCTTAGGCATTAATTTTTAAAATTTATTGATTGATGCAAAAGGCTGAGTGAGCAGTACAGACAGCACACAATATAAGACTTGAAAGAAGAGAAAGAGCCTCGGAGAGGGTTTGATTGAGGCTGTAGAACCTGAGCTGGGGCCTTGTGAAGCAAATTACGATTTTTGTTCTGATTCGAAAGCCTGAGAGAAGAGTTAGAAAAGAGAATTGTATTTCCCAAAGACAACCATTGTCAATATCATTTTCTTTGTTTGACATTTTGAAGAGACAAAGAACAAGGTGGGACAGATTGGTGACAATAAGACTTTCCTGAGTATATCTTATTGTATAGTTCTGACTGGAAATGTAAATAACTGGTATAGCCAACAATTAAAAGCAATTCTAAAATATTGAAAACAGACCACAAGTTAGTAAAATAAACGTGCAGGCAAAGATAATCATTTAAGTGACACAATTTGTCTATGCATTCTTCATTAGTTTCTTGGTGTTCCTAGAACAAAGCACCACAGATGTGGTGACGTAAGCCGAAGAAACTAACTTTCTCACAGTTGTGGAGGCCTGTGGTCCACAACCAAGGTGTTAGCAGGGTGGTTTCTTCTAGAGGCTCAAAGAACCTGTCCTATTCTTCTTCCTTGGCACTGGTGTCTCACAGTCCTTGAGTTAGGGCACCAGATCTGGTCTTTACCTCCAGCATAGCATGGCATATCTGTGTATCTTCCTGTCCTCTTGCTTCTGGGCATATCTGTTTCTGTGTATCTTCTTATCCTGTGTTATAGTGACTCTAGAAAGTTAAGAGCCCACTCTCCTCCAGTATGACCTTGTCTTTTGTTGTTATTGGGTTGTTTTTTTTATTTGATTTTTTTGATTCCCTCTATGTGGTGTTGGTTTTTTTGTTGTTGTTTCGTTTTGGTTTTTTGAGACAGGGTCTCACTTTGTAATGCAGGCTAGCCTCAAACTCCTAGTGATCCTCCTGCCTCAGTCTCCCAAGTGCTAGGATTATAGGTGTGTGCCACATGGCTCACTCCTTGTTTTAACTAGACATCTGCAGGGCTGCAGGGACCCTGTTTCCAAACTATATCACATTCTCAGGTACCAGATGTTAGGACATTAGCATACCTTGTGGGAGACACAACTCAGCCCACAGCACAGTGTATTTGTGATGGTTAATTTTATTTGTCAGCTTGGCTGGGCCATGATAACCAGATGTTAGGTAAGCATTATTTTGGTTGTTTCTGTGAGGGTTTTTAGATGAGATGAACATTAAGCTGGTGAACTTTAAATAAAGCAGATCATTCTCTATAACATGGGTGGCTTCATTCAATCAGTTGAAAGCCTTAGCAGAACAAAGATTGAATTCCCTGGCAAGAGGGAATTCTGCCAGCAGATGACCTGCTGCCTTGACCTACAACACTGGCCCTTTCCTGGGTCTCCCAGTGCTAATGCCCCCTACAGATTTAGGACTTGGACTCGCTAGCTTCCATGAGTAAATATTTTTCTCTGTCTCCATATGCATACCAATCTCCTGTTGGTTCTGTTTTTCTCTGGGAGCGGGTACCAGGAATTGAACTCAAGACCTTGTGCTTGCCAGGCAGGCACGTGGTTCTGTTTCTCTTGAGAGAATTCTTTTCTTGGTTTTTTTTTGTTGTTGTTGTTGTTGTTTTTTTCCTGGAGAGGTCTTACTGTGTTACCCAGGCTAGTCTCAATCTCATAGGCTCATCCTGCTTTAGCCTTGCAAGTATCTGGGACTGCTAGCATGCACCACTATGTCTAGCTCATCTCTGGAGAAGTCTAACACAGATTGTGGTAAAGACAGGTAGAGCTACAAAAAAAATCTTAGTCTTCGTTTAGTTAATTAATGCCTTTGAAATGATTTTAATAGATAATACAAATAAGTAACTTATAGTGGCTAAAAATCAAGATTATAGTTTGTAAGTAAAGAAACACAAGCATAAGATCAAAGAAATTCAGTAAATTCCTCTGTGATTTACTTTTAATTGAAAATACCAATATAATTCTTCCTCTTCCATCTTTTTTATTCTTTGAGATGGTCTCATTAATAAATAAAGACTAATGGGTCATGTCAAAAAGATACAGAAGCGAATAGGTAGGCCAAAAGTAGAACAATTTAAGCAGAAAAAATATCTGCAGTTGATTAAAAACACATTTAGTATACTCAACTCATATTGACATGAAAGAAATTTTGTGTGTAATATATATATATATATATATATATCATATCAAATCCCTCATTGGACTCCATGAGAAGTATCAAGGGCAAAATATCTCCTTTGAAAATTTAAATTTAAAAGGAAAGAATTTGATATCTATCGTCTACAAATGAGTTATTAAGTAACACTAATAGATTGGAGAAAGTTATTCACAGGAGAAATCCCGCTGATTAATGTTAATTTAGAGCCAGGCATGGTAGCTCATGCCTATAATCCCAATACTCAGGAAGCTGAGGCAGGAGGAGCATTGTGAGTTCAAGGTCAGCCTGGGGTACATAGGGAGACCCTGTCTCAAAACAACAACAACAAGAAAATTGATATAGGCAACAATAATCAGTAGGTGAAACCTTATCTGCAAGGATCAACCTGCATATACTGATCTAAAAATGGATTAGCCAGTGTGTCAGTTGGCTTTTGCTCTGTTACAGACAACCCCAAAATATTGGCTTAAAGCAACAGTTTCATCTGTGCTCACAATTCTGTGGATCTACTGGCAGATATCCGGTTTTGTTTCTGCTTGGCTAGCCTCTCTGGTCAGCTGGCAATACACTCTTAAGTAATGTGGGTTGTTGACTGGTTTAGGTGGCCTCAACTGGAACTGCTTGTCTCTGCTGCAAGTCTTTCTCATCCTCCAGTGGGCTAGGCCAGGCCTTTTCAGATGGTATCACAGCATTCAGAAAAGCAGCAAGAGAGGAGAAAACCCCAAGGTACACTGTTTCGAGTCTCTGCTTGTGTCCAATTTGCTCTCGTCCTGATTTCCAGATCCTGTCGCATGGCTGAGCCCCGGGTAAGGATCAGAGAGGTCTATCTGAGGACACATAAGCATGGAAGTATAGAGAAGGGGGCTGTTACTGCTACGATCTATTATGAGCACCGAACATCTCCTGATGGGATACTAGGAGACGCATACTGACCAGCCTGTGAAATACTCTTGCCAAAATCACTGGACTTAGTTCTAGAATTAACTTCCATTTTCAGGGAATTCAAGAAATAGTGGAACAAGGAAAATGACACCACAAGGAAGTAGGTAGACTAGCAGCCTTTAATGTAACTCACTGGAATGTCCACATCTGTGCTTTCCCTGCACATGGTAAAATGTACTCCCTGGTCTTCGGTTGGGTGGAGCTGTATCGTCAGTCTGTATTGCCAGTGAGGTGAAGGGTAATTGATGTCAAGACTGAGCACTGCCAAGTTCGCTTCTGCTAAGATGACCAGCAGTGTAACTACTTGCTCAGCGTGATACTTCCTTCCTCAGGCTTGTTCTGGGGATGAGACTGATGATTAAATATGAGGTAGATATGGAGAAAGGGAGAAATTAAGTTTTATTGTTTCAGCCACAGAGATTTTAGAGTTGCTGGGTTCTGTAGCATAGAGCATAACACAGTCTACCCTAAATGATACGCACACAAATCTAGGTTGTCCTACAGGACAAGGGGCCTGACAGCTCAGCGGCATTATAATGTTAATTAAGAACAGGGCTTTGCTTTAGATTCAAAGAGACTTAAGAGCCTCTGTAACCACACAGCACACATGGATCGTGTTTGGACACTGATTTGAATAAATCAACGGAGAAAAGACATTTTGAAGACAGTAGGATGCTGGAGATGTAGCTCAAGGGTAGAGCGCTTGCCTAGCGTGTATGAGGGCCTATGCTTGCTCCCTAGAACACTGAAAATAAATTGGATAAATTTGTTTGTGGACTGTTATTATTCATTTTGCTTGATTGATACTGGCTATAAGCTTATGTTACGGAAATACCCATGTTTTTCAGAGATGTATATGGAACTCTGTGGGGGTGAGTGAAATGATGTGATATTTGGGATTTGCTTTAAAATACATACGCAGAGTGTGGCGGGAGGTGGTGGCTTGTGGGGCTGGGTTATCCGTCAGTGAGATAGCTCATCGGGACTGTTCTGCTAGCAAGAAGGCGGGCAGGTGGTGCTGCTACCCTGGAGAAAGCATAGCTACCACTGTTGTGGAGGCTGCAAGTTGCACAGGTTGAGGTTTCAGCAGTGGATGCACTGAAGCTCTTCTAGGGGTTTACAACTTAGAAATAGTTGACAAACAGGGACATAGCAAAGTATTGAGCTTTATAATTCCATCTTTATCCAAACCATCTGTATATCATGAACCTTCCAGTATCGGGTCCATGGCTCTGACTGAGAGTCCACTATCCCAGCATGGGTTGTCAAAAGCTGTGTATAGTGGACCTCATCCTCAAAGGGAGATGCTCATCGCCCATAATGAATTTGAAGTGTTGGCATTCCTTCTGTTGTGGTTATAATGCTGCCATAACCTATATGCCAGTGATTCTCTTCAATCACTGTGTCAGATTTGTTGAAGAATCTGTTTGTGGATATCCTCAACAGCGTGTAAGAAAGTACAAAGGTATAAGTAGCAGGATACCAGTTTCTTCAGAATTCATGATGCAAATGTTAATAGAAATTTATTTTGCCTTATAAAATGAAGAATAAGATCTAGCTCAGAAAACATTGGATAGTATTACATACTGAGCCTAGCTAGAATTATATGCAGAACCATTGATAATGCTGTAAAGGCTTCAATGCCTCATGGTGCCATAAAATCTAATAAG